TTAACCCAATTCAAGTTTTGTGCAAAAACGCATGATCGCTCCGGCTCGCCTGGTGCGTTCCAGCTTGGGTGGTATTTACAAACTCTAAGTGCTGCCCAGCTCATTTTACGTTTTTGACTGATACAAAGCGTTTAATCATTCAGAGAACCGTTTCGCAGTTATCAGTTTTATTCAGCAGTAGTTAATCGATCTGTCGACATAAAATTTTGGATGTCAAGCTCTCCAATCATACGCCTTGCATAGGTACGCCTGCATCTTCTATCCAGAATTACTTCTAATTATAATAACGGTGTGAGCCCAAACGTCAAATTCTTTCTTCGTCTTTGAACTGCAAAATTGTCCTGAATTTGGATCTGAAGCCGTAGGTCCAGATATAGTAAGATGTGGACGCTAAATTAACTCATCTCGCGTCATACGAGAAAACATTCTTAAAATTACCAGCCTGCTGGAGTTTTTTTTCCGCTCATGAGTTGTAACACTATTCTGATCCTTGAATCACGCAACGCGTGAAAACACTTTAATTTATAGCGTGCCGTGTTTCGAATTCATAACTTGAGCCCCTGCTTGAAATTATTTTAGGTAGAGCAGGGCTTAGGAATGTCTGAAGCGTAGTTTTTGATCATTTAGCCCACAGCGCTTGCTTAGTCAAAATCCGAAATTTTTGGTTTTATGGCTTATCTTATTTCCAAATTGCTAAACTAACCTAAATTCGAATTAAAAGTCACAGCGAGTCGCAAAAAATTTGAAGGATGCATTAATATTATACAGTTTGTATTATTTATTGAATTTAATGTTGAAAACTTTGAACTGCGATTTTTTTCGTTCTCAATTCAAAAATTTATCGGAATTTCGATCCCAAATCATCAGGCACGAAACCTCGTAAACTGCTTCATAATCTGTAGTCCTGGATTTGGTGGCCCTAGTGGACACCTCCTCACATATAGGCACACCTTTAAGCATGAATTATTTTCATATCAATTATTTGTGCAGAAGCGCTCTAAAAACACA